GGAAGGGCAACCTGGACTGCGATTCTTCCACACAGAACAGAAAACAAAACCAAGCAGAACAGCCCGCGCTGGTCAGGGGGTGCGCTGGGCGGCTCAGCCACAGCTGCTGGGCGGCTGGTCCCTGCGACCAGGAAACCGGGCCGACACCTCGCAGGGAAGCGTTCCTCTGGGTCACAGGTGGGGCCCTGGAGTTAAAGCCTCTGCTCAGAGTCCATATTAGGCAACAGGAACTGCCTGAAAGGCACTGATTTTTCACTGTGTGTCACTCAGCCCTGGTGACTCAGCCCTGTTCTTACTCACCCAGCGCCCCGCGCTGCTGGGAGAGGCCGCTGCCGGCACACGGGGCCAATCCGACACCCTCCGCGGGGAGGGCGGCCAGTGGCTGGGGAGGGGGGGGTTTTTGCTTTAAGATCAGATTAATTGAGTCGCTGACTCACACCCCGGGGACTGGATGGCGTCCTCAAGGGCTCCATTTCTAAAACAACACAGGCTCCATCTGAGCAGTTTTACTGCCACCTGGTCAAGCTTATTAAAGTGTCAGGGGAGTTTAAAAAGTCACGCCGGCCCGGCTGGTGTGGCTCAGTGGGTTGAGCGCCGACCTAGGGACCGAGAGGTCTGGGTTCGATGCCCAGTCAGGGCACGCGCCCGGGTTGCGGGCTTGATCCCCAGTAGGGGGCACGCAGGAGGCAACCAATCAAGGATTCTCTCTCATCTCCCTTCCTCTCTCCTAAAAATCAATAAAAACCTATTTTAAAAATCATACTGGAAACCATGTAACTAAAGTAATTTAGAGAAACTAAAGTAATTTAGTAGCAGCAACAAATGTGAAAATAGTGTTAAACATTAATCCAGCACTAGGAATGGCCTGAGATCTTATTATTACTTTAAAAAAAAAAAAGACTTTATTTTTATTTTAGGTTCCCAGTGAAATTGAGCAGAAAGTGCAGAGTTCCCCGGTCCGCCCCGCCCGCACGTGGGCACAGCCTCCCCTGCTATCAGCATCCCGCACCGGAGTGGTACCTTTGTTACAGTCGATGAGCTGCGTGGACACACCTTCACCGCCCAAAGTCCACCGTGTGCATCAGGGTTCACTCTGCTGCCGTGAATTCTAAGGGTTTGGACAAATGTGCCAAGACCTGGGCCCACCGTTGAGGGGATGCAGAGTAGCTTCGTTGCCGTAACATTCTCTGTGCTCCACCGATTAGAGATCTTGGGGTGTGTATGTGTGTGTGTGTGTGTGTGTTTTGTTTGCTCGTTTTTTTTAGGTTCAAATGAAATGATCTAAGCATGGGTTAAAGTCCAAAAGTTTAATAAAGCACAAGGGCCCAAGTGTTGAAACTTAAAATTAATGACTGCTTTTGCTTTAAGTCTACAATATTAAATGTCAACATTAGTATGAATATTTCATCAACTCAGAACCCACATCTGAAATATACCTTTGCGGTAGACGCAACACAAAAAGGTTTGTTGGCTCAGTAAAGGAAATTGTGTGTCCAGGAGGCGTCCAGCCAAGGACAGCACCAACTGTTAACAACCCTTTGCCCTGGAACTCAGCTCAAATTAAGCAAATAAATGATAACAAAGGACAGAAAAAGCTCTGGAAAAATCTCCCAATGTCAGGAAAATAAGTACATTTCTAAATAACCCATGAGCCAAAGAAGAAATCACAGCGGAAATTAGAAAATATTTTGAACTGAATGAAAATGAAGACACAACATATCAAAATGTGTGACATGCAGCTAAAGCAGTGCTTAGAGGGAAGTTAATAGCATCAAATACATATATTAAGAAAAAAAGTCTTTAAAGTGAATGATCTAAGTTTCCACCTTAAGAGATTAGGGGACAAAAAGCAAATTAAACCATACATGAGCACAAGTAAAGATAAAAGTGGAAACTAATAAAATAGAATATAGTAAAACCATAGGAAAAAAAATCAATGGAACCAATAGTTATTTAAAGAAGTTAATAAAATCGATAAACCTCTTGCCAGAATGATTAAGAAAAAAAGATAAAAACCACAAAATATCAATATCAAGAATGAAAGAAGACTATCACCATGAATCCTACAACCAAAAAGATTATAAGGGAGTATTTTGAACAATCAGCACCAATAAATTTGACAACTTATGGATGAAACAAATTCTTTGAAAGTTACACATTATTGAAATTGACTCAAGAAGAAATAGAAAGCCTTCATAGCCTTATATCTATTAAATAAATTAAATTTGCCATTTTACTGCTGACAGAGAAGATACCAGGCCCAGATGGCTTCATTGGAGAATTCTATAAAATGTTTAAAAAAGATCTAATACCCATCCTACACAAATATTTTGGAAAACAGAAGGAGAAATCACACTTTCAAACTAATTTTTATGAGACAGGTATTACCCCGATACCTAAATCTGTCAAAATTATTATAAAGAAAGAAAATCATAGGTCGATATCCCTTATTCGTTTAGATGCAAAATACTTAACATGTTAACAAAATATAAGTAACAACATATAATACATATTTATGTAATAATTATATATAACATTATAAATAACTCTACGCGTTTGTAGACATAGAGAGAGAATACCACATAGAGAGGTAATATGCCGAGTGGATTTATTCCAGGGATTCAAGACTGTTTAATTTTCAAAGTCAGTTAATATAACACAGGATAAAGGCGGAAAACGAGGCACTATTTCTGTTGGCCGTCCCCACGCCAGATCCAGTGATTCCCTGAGACTCACGGGATTCACACACAGGCACACCCATGGCTGAGGTTCATACAGCGAAAGGACATAGAGCAAATCAGCCAGGAGGTGAGGTCTGGCCGGGACCAGGTGTCGGCTTCCGACGTCCTCTCCCTGCGCCTCACTCCCCAGCAGCAGGCGTGACCCAGGCGTGAGCTGCTGGCTCCCAGAGAAGCTCATTAGAGACTCCACCCAGGGCTTTTATTGGGGCCGGTCTCAGAGGCCACCTCTGCTTGGCACACATTCCAGACGCCAAGAAGGGAATCAGTTGTGCAGCTTGAACCATGCTGTTTGCACAAACGGGTTAGGCACCGCGAGCCACGCCCCTGAGTTTTTTTGGGGGGAGGGTGGGGACCCTCCCAAAGTTCTCGGATGGCAGCCCGAGGCCCACCTGGCAAAGGTTAATGGTCGCAGGCCTGCTGAGTTAACTTTTTAAAAAATATATTTTATTGATTTTTTACAGAGAGGAAGGGAGAGGGGTAGAGAGTTAGAAACATCGATGAGAGAGAAACATCGATCAGCTGCCTCCTGCACACTCCCCACTGGGGATGTGCCCACAACCAAGGTACATGCCCTTGACTGGAATCGAACCTGGGACCCTTGAGTCCGCAGGCCGACGCTCTATCCACTGAGCCAAACCGGCTAGGGCTGGGTTAACTCTTACGCACAGCAGCTCCACAGACGCACACCCTCAAAAGACACCAGACTTTTGACGGAACTTCATGCCCATTCATGGGCTGTCCGCAACCTGGGAGCAGAAAGGATCTGCCTCAACTCAAGAAGGACATTTACAAAAAAACCCTCGCACCGCTGATATCCTCGCTGGGGGAATTCTGACCGCCTCCTCCCTGAGACTGGGAGCAGGACAGGGGTCACCTCGCCTTTCTTAGTCAGCGTGGCGCAGGCAGCCCTAGGGCTGCAGGAAGAAGAAATCGAAGGCGCACATATTGGGAAGATGAAAGCGACTTTTATTCATGGACAGCATAGGAAATCCTAAGGAATCTATCAAAAATATTATTGGGGACAACTGATTTGGTAAGGTTGCAGGATACAGGATCACTATACAAAAGTCAATTAAATTTTTATATCCTAGTAATGAACAATTGAAAATTCAAATAAAAGATACCGTTTATGATCGTTTCTGAAACCATAAAGTGCTCAGGGATAGTCTTAACAAAATACGTACAAAACCTGTATGCAGAAAATTTCAAAATATTGCTGAGAGAAAAATTTAAAGATGTAAATTAATAGGTAGATAGACCATATTCATGGGAAAAAAATACAAATTGATTTGTAGAATCAATGCAATCCCAACTAAAACCCCAGCAGGTTTTTTGTAGAAATTGAGGAACTGATCCTAAAGTTTATAAATGCAAAGAGCCTACAAGAGTGAAAATGATTTTGAAAATGAAGAACAAAGTTGGAAGAATCACTTTGTCTGATGTCAGGATTTAATATTCGCCTGTAGTAATTGAGACAGTGTGGTGAGGTATAAAGACAGACATATAGATCAGTGGAACAATATCGAGAGTACTGATATATAGGCAATACATTTTGACACAGTGGCCAGGACAACTCAGTTTGGGGAAAATAAGTTCTTTTCAACAAATTGTTCAGGAAAAACTGGACAGCCACATGGAAAATGGGGATCTTGGTGTTTACCCTGTTACCTTATGAAAAATTACTCGAAACGGGTCCTATCCCTTAATATAAAACTTGTAGATGAACATATAAGAAAAATATCTCTGAAACCTTGGGGTAGGCAAAGAATTTTTAGCTAGACACAAAAAACATGATCCATTTAAAAAAATTGGAAAACCGGACTTTGTTAAAGTCAAAAACTTTTACTTTTGGCAAGACGCTGTTAAAATAAAAAGGCAAGTCACAGACTCGGAGACAGTATTTGCAATACAACAAACACATGAAAAGATGCTTCCCATCATTGGGCATCAGGAAGTGCAAGCTGAAGCCACACATACTCACCAGAAGGGCTAAACGTTAACACGAGAATAGCAAGTGTTGCTAGGCATGTGGCGCAACCGGGACTCTCATACGTTGCTGGTGGTAGCATCGTTTGGTAAAACCACTTTGGAAAACAGCTTGTCAACCTCTTATAAAGTTATGCATATGATTTAATTCCACTCCTACGTGTTTAGCCAAGATTAAAAGACTTGTACACAAATGTCCACAGCAATTTTATTCATAACTAGAGGCCCAGTGCATGAAATTGGTACACAGTTGGGGTCCCTAGGCCTGGCCAGCAATCAGGGCCTATCGGGGCCATCTCGCCCAGTCCCAATCGGGGCCGGGCTGGCTGGGGAATGCCGGCTGCCAGCTGCTGGCTGCTGGCTGGGGCCTGCCAGACGGGGCCTGCCAGGCAGGGGGAGAGAAGAGGGAGGGACCATGGGAGGTTTGCCGACGGGGAGGTTGGCTGGACATGGGAGGTTGACTGTGGGAGCGTACTGACCACTAGGGGGCAGCTCCTGTGTTGAGCGTCTGACCCCTGGTGGTCAGTACATGTCATAGAACTGACCGATCGGTTGTTCGGTTGTAACAGTTGCTTAGGCTTTCATATATATAGACTAGAGGCCCGGTGCACAAAATTCATGTACCTGAGGCGGGGGGGGGGTGATCTCTCAGCCCAGCCTGTGCCCTCTTGCAGTCTGAGAGCCATTTGGGGATGTCTGGGAGCAGGCCTAAGCCATCAGTCAGACATCCTTAGAGCTGCTGCGGAGGTGTGAGAGGCTCCCGCCACTTCCGCTACACTCGCCACCCGTGAGCCCGGTTTCTGGCTGACCGCAGGAGTCTATGACCACCAGGGGACAGCTCCTGCATTGAGCGTCTGCTCCCTGGAGGTCAGTGCACATAATAGCGATCAGTCGTTCTGCCATTTGGTCAATTTGCATATTAGCCTTTTATTATATAGTATAATTGCAAGGACCTAGAAACAACCAAAATGTCCACCCACAGGTAAGTGGGTAAATGGTGATACGCCCGTGCAGTGAAACATTGTTTCGCAATACGAAGGACAGATGAATGATCGACAATTTTGACTTTTTAAAGCACAGAGTGTGGGAAGCCAGACCCCAAAGAGCGCCTGCCGTCTGCGTTTAAATCTCCAGATTGCTTCTCACCGTGCACAACCGACGCTCTATGCTCAGAGATAACAGCCGCCCGCTCCCCTCCCCCAGGCCTGGGCCTCCCTTCTCGTTTCTGTCTCTGAATCTGGCGTTCCTAAGGGCCCAATGCAAGTGGAAGCGGACAGTATGCGTCTCTTTCTTTTTTATGTTAAATGTATTGGGGTAACATTGGTCAATAACCGTATACAAATTTCAGGTGTATAACTTTATAATACAGCATCTGTCTTCTCTATGGGGTGCTCACCACCCGGAATCTATTTATCTGATGCTTCCTCGCGTCTCCATGTACCTGACCCCGTGGCTGCCCCGCTCTGACGGGCTTCGCTCACTCAGCAGCCACGTGTACCTGAAGGGGGCCCTTCTAGTGACTTCCTACGGCACACGGCAGCCTGCCTCTCTGCCGGTGGCCTCACTACCTCTGTCCTCTTCCAGTTTCTGCGTGGGCATCACTGTTTGTGGTGTTAGCTGTCACTCCTGCCATTTCCCTGTGTCACCATGACAACTATCCTGCTCTAACCGCTGCCGTC